CAGTCAACAGTTTCATAATTTAAAAGAGAGAGAGAGGGAGAGAGACCGGGTTTACATAATGTTACATAATGTTACAGTAGGAGATACTGTGGATGTATAAACTGAAGACATTCAATTTATAAACTAAACATACTTATAGAAAAAGTATAATGCATAAACTGAAGACTTATTCAGTGGAAAAATACAAAATTTCTCCCTTCTTTCAAAAGATTTAGACATTAAAGTAAAGGAGACATTGGAATGCCAAGCAAAATGTGATCGATAAAGTAAGTACCTACCCACACTACAATACAGGTAAATCTCACAAGGACTGATGGAACAGAGAATATTGAAGGGCTCAGGACATGTACCTTATAATACAAACCAATCAAAACAATAGAATATATCTCAATAGAAACTCAGAGTCAAAAGATCATTGAAGGAAACAACTACTAATCAAGACTACCAAAACCAAGAAATGTATCTCTGTGAATTAAAGAAGAAATGAAGAATTATCAAGCTCAAAATAAATTCAGTGAAGTCAGGATAACTATAAAGCATTCAAGTACAAGTAAAGGAATTGTCAGCAGAAAGAAAAAAGAGAAGACAACAAACCCTGGGTTATATAAGCAAATGCGAATTTGAGAATTAGGAAAGAACTTGATTAGAAAATGTCAAAATGAAGCCAGGCATGGTAGAACATACCTATTATCCCAATACCTGGCAGATAGACAGGAAGGTGAGAAATTCAAGGACTCCCTTAGCTACAAAATAAGTTGGAAGGTGAAAGACCCAAAGAGTTCGGAGTCTGTCAAGGAGAGACCCTTGCCCCAAGAGATGAGACCAGACCACTGGATGCGAGCGCAAGAGGCTATTTATTGCTTATACAGGTACCTGTGGACACTTCAGTCCTTCAGGAGACTGAGTGTGCCAAGGATAAAACTCAGGCTGTTTATATAGATAGGGTTGGGGTGGCAAGAAGCAGGCTTACAGAAGCAGAAGCATGGTTACAGGGATTTCATTAGTCCATTTAATTAAGGCAATTGGGGTCTGCCAAGGACAGAGCTGCTTATTCCGGTTGGGCACAAAGAATTCAGTTATGACTATCTCAGCACTCTGGTGGTCTCGATAGAATGCTCCCAGGACCTTCTGTTCCCAGATATCATCCTGCTGACCTTGCTTTGGTCCAAGCTGCAGACCACAGATATCTGATAGGCGTCAGAGGAGAGGAACGTCTGGTTCCCTCCTGTACTTTTTTATAACTTGACCTTGGCAAGTTGGCAAGAGCAGCTCAAACAGGCAATAGGCATAGTGGGGGTCTTTCAGTATAACATACCTATTATCCCAATACTTGGCAGATAGACAGGAAGATGAGAAATTCAAGGACTCCCTTAGCTACAAAGTAAGTTGGAAGGGTGCTGACCAACAGGAGACCCAGCTTTATCTGCGGTTTACAAGAAGCACTAGTAGACATGCTGACATGGATTGGGGAGTTTCCGCTCAGTCTCATCTCGAGATGAAAAGCTGCTGAGAGACTGACAGCTAACAGAGACTCATTGTCCTCCAGAGAGGAGTTCCTGCATCGGTTACTCAGTTTCAACTGGTCGGGCTAGGACACACGGTGTAGTGGGATATTCACTTAGACCTCGTTCCACAGGTCACTTCCGCCCATGGCTCCACCCCCCAATGGGCGTGGTCAGTGCCACAGAAGGAGACAAAGTGAATATCCCACTACACACACGTTCATCCAATCCATGCTAAGTAGACTAACTACGTTGTATATTCATTGAAGACAGGAGAGGTGACAAATTTGGGAGCAGGAGAGGGAAATGGCGGAAGTTGAAGGGACAGGAATGACACAGACACAGTGCTCATGTGAGAAGCTATTAGAACACAATAGAGCAACAACAGAAGTAACAGTCCTATGAACTTGGAGATCATAGTTGGGTTATGCTGAATAAAATGTTTGCAAATTCAACAACATATTTAAAGAATTATACTCTATGATTCACTTGGTTTCATTCCAAACAAGAAAGGGTGTTTCATCATGTCAAAACTAATGGATGTAATAAAGTTGTAGTAGTTAGTGTTAATTGTCAACTTGAAAGACTCTAGAATCACCAGGAGATGAACCTCTGGGCATGCCTGTACAAACTTATTTTACCTATGTTAGTTGATTGGGGAAGATGCATTTAGACTATGGGAAGGAGAAATTAAGGTAAACACATGTTCACCTTTGTACTTCGCTGTTTCCTCTTAGTGGATGTGTTGTGTACAGTATTCTGAAAGGTATGTTTTTCTACTTAAGAAAGAATTTTTAAAAAATAGAACCAGACATATTAGACACTTAAAGAGTTAATCTTACCCGGTGAAATGAAACACCCAGAAACACCGTTTTTGTTCTCTACATTGGGAAAGGAAACTATGTGACTGGAATCACTTTGTTAGTCTGCATTTCCCAAAGAAGAAGTTAATGAACACAAAGCAAATAGCCCAGGGAATAATACTCACTAACAAAGATGGACAAATAAGTAAAAGAACAAAGGCATTCATTGTAACAGATGGAGTATTCTCAAGAAGTGATACTGGAATAAGTGGGTGTCATAGGCATAACAAGATGAATGACCATGGGAGAGCTATCCTCATTACCTATCTGCCTTGTGGGTGACTTCAGAGTGGGACAAGTGCCCCTTCTATCAACGCTGGAAATGGGTGGGAGAGACGGCTCTGTGGTAGAAGAGTAGAAGAGCTATACTTGATCTCCACCAACTGGAGTTACAGGAGAGCAGCTCTTCTACCCCACCAGGACAGCACAATAGAGCCAACGCTGTTAGCTGAAGTGTGGGTGAGCTATTGCTGTGGAATAGCCCTTCTGTACACTGTGAATATGTATTACTCCCATTGCTTAATAAAAAGCTGACAGGCTGGTTTTCTGGGCAAAAAGTAGAAGCAGGACAGCCAGACATAGAGGAGGCAGAGTAGAATCAGTGGATGTGGTCATTTTTTTTTATCTGCTTACTAAGTATAGTGGCATTGTGACTAGCTATGCTCATGTTCCTGCTTCCATTGCTAGAGTTGTCTTCATACATCCTTTCTGGCCATGATAGTCTGTACCCAAAATAAATCCTTCCTTTCTTGAAAATAAAAATAAAAATTAAAAAAAAAAGTAAAGGAAAATCACCTGAAGCAAAGACAGCTAAAATAAAATAGTGGATTACTGACCCAATAAGCTGATGCTGGAAAATTACTCAGAGCTGTTGTCACATGTCACTCTCTTAATAAGGAAGCAGAATCCAAGAGAAACTCTGCAAGCAAAGCACTCTGCTGGAAACACAGTTTAGGAAGCCCAACCACATGTGGCCTCAAGTCTCTAAAGACCTGCCCTCTCCCTGATGAAAAGAGGAGACCCAGACATCCACAGAATCAGGAGCCTGCTATAGAAGCTGCCCTGACTTGACTGAACATCTCCAGTTCAAACAACCAGTTCAAGCTAAGACTGTGGAGGGTGAAAGCAAGTTCCATGGTAAGATGACAGTATTGACAATGCTAAGATTACAATGGCTAGTGACAGATCAGGGCCTCTGTATGTCCATGAACTATACAGGGACAATCTTGAAAACTGAAACTGCTCGGGCGAGACATAATACAGAACATTGCACCATGCTTCTGAGTACAAAAGTATTCGAATGCACTACCCGATCTGCCCATGATTAAGAAGAGTGAAGCTATATTGCCTAACTTCAGGCCTGAAAGTAAGTGTTATAAGGAGCAGAAGCCTTATATGCAATACACTCTTTACTGACTCACCAAAACAAGAATAAAAGCTATAAAGGCTGTTACAAGGTCCGGACACTGATTGTATGAAAATTCAGGGCAACCTGGAATGTTTTCTATATCCTGGGCAGTTTTGGTATCTATGAGGGAAAACAAAGGAAAAAAATACTGATCTGTGTGGGGACATGTTGACTCAAATTTAGTCCTGAATTACAATAAGGAAAAACAAAACAACCTCCCCTCCAAAACAGGGAGTACGTGGGAGTGTTTGAAGGGAGTGTTATGAAAAATGGAAACGATACTAGATCTTTGCTGATAATGTCTACCCATTATCAATAAGGCAAAAATCATTGAAACAATTATATGTTTAAAAAAGATTTTGAGAATTTCAAATGTATACACAGGATAAAAAATGAGACACCACACATTTAATTCGCAGCATAAGCCATTTGCATGTGTTCCAAAGGATGGTGAGTGAGAGCATCCCGCACTGTTTTTAGAAGCTCCTGAATAATGTAGGGCTTGGTGACTCATTGAGAAAGGACATTTTCTGCAGTGAGCAGAATGTGTTAAGAACTTCAGGAAGTTATGAAACAACCCATCAAAACAAATGCTGAATTGAGAGAGCTTAAATTGATCAAGTATGAAATTCACTATTGTGTTTGGTTTTATTATTGAAAAACTCTGAAAATTGGCAGAACTTGCAATTGCTCTTCACATTTTGCCTCTTCTAAGGTGTTTGTTTCCTTGTGTTTGCATGAGCACAACCCTGTTACCCTGGTCCACATCTAAGAAACAGTGAAAAAGAACTGGATCTGTTCTTTCCACATTTCCCTTTCAAGCACAGACAAACTAGGAACTAGGAACTCACCAGCCTCTTAAGTATGCATCAGGACACCAGTCAAGTTCTTTTTTTTTTTTTTTTTTTAAGTTTTTCGAGACAAGGTTTCTCAGTGTAACAACTTTAGCTGTCCTGGAACTCACTGTGTAGACTAGGCTGGACTCAAAACCTACAGAGATCTACCTGCCTCTGCCTCCTAAGTGCTGGGATTAAAGGCATGCGCTACCATAGCTAGCCACTCTTCCTTGGTATATTTCCCTGGTGAATTTGTGACTATAGATGGCAACACTTCCCTTGGTATTTCCTTAATGAATTGGTCAGAATTGCTTTGGCATATCTTCTATTAACGTGTTGTGAAGCTCTGTGTCCCACATCCTGCTTAATTAAACCAGGACTTTTCCTTTGTTTACTTTCAGCCATGGCTTCTTTCCCGGTGATGTTTCTCATTACTCTGCCGTTGCCCTCTATGCTCACTGAAGGAAAGGTAAGTTTAAAATGGCAGTCATCTCAGATCTGCCTGACAACTTTGTGAGATGGTGCATGACCGGGGAGTAGGGCAACTCAGAGGGTCTGATTGGTGACAGTACCCTCATGGGTTCTAGGATCACTTAACAGGGTTATGGAGATGAGCAAGTGAGGATGAATTCTCTATAGCTAGCAGGTATAGTACACTCCAGTGACATGTACAAACTGGACACTTGATAAGGGAGATTACTACAAATATATAGTACTTACCAGACATCAAAGATGCACATTAAAGAGGGTTGTTCTTTTACTGCAGCTATTGCCTATGAAACACAAACACGAGACTCAGCACCCACGTGGGGCTTATTGAGAGAGGGGAGAGAAGGGGGGTAGCTGGTGGCCAACCGAAAGCAGGGGAGAGATGGAGAGAGGAGAAAGAGAGAAAGAGCAGAGAGAAGGCAAGAGAGAGAGAGAGGTGTGCATGGCATGCTTGCTTTAAAAGGGAAACTTGCACATGCATAACTGAGTCCCCTGGCAGCCAGGTGAAACTTGTGCAGCCAGGTAAAGCCTGTTGTAGTGATGATGTGGCCATGAACGTCCTGCCCATCTTCGGTGGCGGGGGTCAGAAGACTGCTGGTTCCCAACAAGGAGGATGAGATACATGTCTGTGAGTAAAGCATTCAAGGTTGAATTTAGACATAAAGCTTGTCTTTAATTACAGTGCTACCACTGTGAAATGTGCCCCATGTACAGAAGAATCCAACAGCCAACAAAGAACTTTTCTCAAATGTAGTTGAATCTGAGAACAAATAGCCGAAAATATCTATTAACTTTTATATCAGGTGAAGTCTGCCTCAATCAAAAGCGATAAATAACCCCTCCTTCCTCTGCATCATAAAGATGGCTACTGATGATTTGCTAACATACTGCTCGTTCAAAATGAACTCTTAAGATATTTTTATATAGTAATCTTAATATTGTTTAAAATGTGAACTCTCCCAATAACACATACCCTTCAGAAGAATTTTTATGTATAAAACAAGATAAAATAAAAAACAACTTTTCCTGCCAAAAACACTCATTTTGAGTTTTGAAATTAATTTTTTTTTCTTACTTGATTTCAGTGTAATAGGAATATTATGGGATAACTGTTGTACTCACCAAGAGACCCCCCAAAGCATCAAGGAGCCAGTGAGATGCCAGAATACAAACACAAGAAGCTGTTTATTTTGAAAAACCAGGTAGCTGGGCCTTCACTACAAATGCAAGGTGTTTTTAAAGAGCGAAGAGTGGGAATGAAGTCATGAGACACCTGATCTCACATCATAAGGTTTCCATGGTTAGAGACTTCTTAGCTCATAAGGTTACAAAGTTTCCATATAAGGTAATTGCAAGACAAAGGGTATTTAGCAAAGGAGCCTTAACTGTCTGTCCAGGCAGGGTTGATTAACACATCCTAAGGTCTGGAAAAGGTTATTTAGTTCCCAGATTCTTGGAGGACATCCTGGGGCCTGTGGGTTTACACCAGGTCCAGAGGCTACCTGGTTCCCAGGTACCCTGTTTCTTAAGAGACAATGGGGTGGGGAGGGATGTTTACACAGTTGTTGATGAGCTCAGGTTCCCCTCTTCTTGTGGGAACTGCTGGTGACTTCCTATCAGAAGTCCCTTGCTTATTTTTCTCACTACAATAACAAATTTGGCTTAGAGGAAATGCAGTGTTTCTATTTTATCTTGACATAAGGTCAGAGAATTCGAGCCTATATTGCTCCTTCAAGGTCAAACCACAGAATGTTTGGCCTAAGGTGTGGGCATTGTGCATTTTACCTTGACAACAACATATCTTACCTAAGGTGGAAATGCAACAAGATGTTTGGCCTAGGGTGTGGTAGCTGCATATCCTGCCTAAACAACAGAATACTTAACTGAGGATATGGCTATTTGATGTTTTGGGTAATGAAAAGGTAATTACATTTTCTTGTTCTTTGTATCTTGGAAGAGAAGTCATTTGCCTTCTCCCCCGTCCCCTCTTTTGATGGGTATATAAAAAATCTGAACAATAAACATGGATGGTTCAGTATTCACTGTTTGCTCTCCTGGCTCTCTCTCCTGTCTCTTATCTAATTCCTTTCCTCAACCTACACTCCTTCTTCCAAGCGTGGACTGGACAGACTGGACAGAAGACTCCTGAGTGTGGGTTACTAGAGTAGGCCCTAGCCACGTGGATTTGGCATTGTCTATATTTTGTGCCCAAATCTTAGACAGTGATTTGGTATGATGTATTTACTTTTAGTTTGCTTGAGGTTTTTCTCCTTGGCAAGGCAGAGTATGATCTGCCAAACTTTATTAGGCAGTAGAAGACAGGGAAACATGCTTACTTCAGTATATTTAACTTTACAGATAATGGTTTGAAACCTCTGGCTTTATAGGCCCTTATACTTTGCCAGGTTGTCAATCACTTCATTCTAACCTGTTCTTCCGATGCCTCTTGCACTGGTTGTCTACTCTGCTGCACATCCGTTCAGTTTCATCAGTCCATCATTTGTCTGTCTCTACACACAACACACGTTTTAAAGGAGGCTCTGAAGCCCACAAAGGACATAGTATAGGAAGCTGCATCAATACGTGTTTTGTACATTTTACTTAGGCTATAACTCCAGGGACTTCACAGACTGAGGTGGTGTGGGTCTAAAGATAAGGTAAAAACATCTCTCATCCTCAAATGGTGAGATTTTCAAAATGGGACTGAAGTGAATGGGCACTGCACAACCACTGAAACTCATGAAGAATAAAGAAATCTGAGAAACAGTTGCAGGCAACTAGAGACTACAGTGTGACTGTTGATTGTAAATGGTACCTTGAATCAGATCATAGAAGAAAGAAGATGATGTGGAAAAACACATGAAATACAAATGCAACCTACAATCCTTTCAGTTCTGGTATTGTAGCACTAGCCTTAACAAAAAACCAATCTACATTAAGATAACGTAACAGAATAAGATGATAGTGAATGAACTGTATATTAAATTTTGATGTAAAGTTTTGAAAAGTTACCTTTAAATCTAGGAAAACTCCAAAATGATAAAGATAAATGTTGAAACAAATCAGTAATAAGAATACCCTTCTTAGTTCAATGCGAACATTTCTGTTATTTCTGCAAAACATTTTAAAATTTTCTCGGACAATTTTTCTGTAAGTTCCAAATCCCTCAATTTAATTGCTGTTTTATTTTGTTTTCCTTTCCTATGGACCTTTCATATTGTAAAAATGAACTGTCAACTTGCCTACAGAGTATCAAGATTCTCTAATAATGTCAAGAATAAGTCATTCTTCGTTTTTGGCAAATGTTTGTTGATAAATATGGTGGAATAGCAGAAATAGAAAGAATAGAAGCAGACACCAATGCTGGGTAATACTATGAACTAAAGCATTAGCTAAAAAGCATAGAGATGAGGGGCTATCACGTTACCTCATATCCCTCTTAAATAGGAGAAAAGGAAAATCCTCTGGAGCAAAGACAGCTAAAGTAAAATAGTCGATTACTGACCCATGAAGTAGATGCTAGGAAATTACTGTGAATATTATCACATGTCCCTCTCTTAAATATTCTGAGGAGCAGGAATCATAACCCAAGAGAAATTTTGCAATCAAAGCATTCTGCTGGGAAGATCAGCCAATGAAGCACAACCACGTATGTTCTCAAACTCTAAAGAACCGCACTCTGCCCAATGTTAAGAGGAGACCCAGAGACCCACAAAAGCTCAGGAGCCTTCAACAGGAGATGACCTGACCGAAAGCCTATGGAAGAAGCAATTGGAGCTAAAACTGAGGGTCGGAAAGCAAGGTCCATAGTGAGATGACAGTATTTACAAAGCTGAGGTGACAGAGGCAGAGTCTTGGTATTTGAAATACACAGGGAAATGAAATGTACTCAATCTTTGCTAATGGCTCTCAGTTGTCATTAAGCCTGACAACAATGTGAAGCAAATTATATACTGAAAATAAATATTTGGAGGATATAGAATGTATGCACAATATACAAAATAACATAGCACACCTTTAATTTACAAGGCAATCCATTTATATAAGTTCCAGAAGGAAGTGCGTACATCCCACACTAAGTTGTCTTCAGCATCATCTAAAGGATGTAGGACTTGGTGACTCATTGAAAAGGAACATTTTGTGTAATGCATAGAGTGTACTTAAAACTTTATAAAACTATGAAATAACCCATCTCACAAAGCACAGATTGATAAGCAATTCATTAGTTGTGTTCATATTTTTTATTGAAGGAAAAAAGTGAAGGTTTATTCAAGTATAAGTAAATTGGCATAATTTGCACTTGCTTTTCACAAAATGGCACTTCTAAGATGTTTTCGTAATTTATGTCTGTACAATAACAACCATGGCACCCTGACTCATTTCCAGTAAAGATAAAAGCTATAAACAGGGAATAGCAAGATAAGAGATGGTACACAGAAAAAAATATTGAAATAAATCTATTTTTCCACAATTTTCTCATGTTAAAATATCAGAGGAAACATAAAATGATCCTGTGTCTGTTTAAACATGCTTAAAGAATTGCTCTGACCCATAGGCCACCAATTGTTGTGAAGAATCAACCTTAGACCTTCTTCAGACAATTCACAAGCATTCTACTACCCCTGCGCTTGATCTCAGAATGGACACATCTATAAGACGATGTGTCAATTTGAATCAGTGCTAACCAATTTGAACCAGTGCTAATAGCTCAGCCTTTGCACGTCTACTAATATCCTGAACAAACTGAGAAACGGTCACTTCACTGGATCAATTTCATCTCCCTGAATAGAGTGGAAGATGGTTTTGTCTTAATATCTGCAAACTGGGACTTCTGCAGCCCTGGAATTTGTGCCCCTAATCTGTGAACTACTTGTGATAGACTACTGAGTGGAGTTCCTGCTCCTACACTGAGTTAATTCCTATCTGGCTTCAGGTGACAAGAAGTCAGTGTTCCCTATGTCCTCTAGGATAAGTCATAGGCTCACAGCATCTCCCCATCTTAGTGTATCTTACACAAATACAAATGGGTAGGTCTCATGTTTCTTATTGTAAACCGTGTTATAATAAATTATCTCTACCTCAGGTTCTGACTCTGACTCAGAAAGATCCCATTATATCTGCTGATCACAACACAAACATCAAGACTGGCTTGGACAAGAGTGGATGCGAAGGTGAAGGAAGTATCGTTCATGCCTTGGAGAGGATATTCCTTTCTTCCCATCAAGACCAAATATTGTTTGAAGACCAGGCCAATGCTGATCACTACATGTTAGACCTGGCTACAGTCTTGACTACCCTGAGAAAATGTTGTACTCAGAACCATCAAGCGGAGCCAGTAAACTTCAGTAGCATGGCCAGTGGGTTTCAAGTGACCAGAGCTAGTCACCAACAAGACTATTTCCCATTCTATTCTTTGAAGGAATTCTTGAACTTAGTGATGTGTGAGTTGCTTTCCCATTAAAGGTAACTAGGAGCTTCCTGTTGTGCCTCTTAGTAGGCTCCCTTTCAAGTCCTAAATCCTCTTTAGATCACCACCCAAAAACCAGGAGCGTGGGGACAGTAAATAAAAATTATACTAGTCCCTCCTCCCTCCAGGCAAATGCTATAAGTGGCCAGAGGCAGCAAAGAATTTGTATGATCCAGCAGTGGAATGAGCAGGCAGCTAGTAATTCGCATCACTTCATAACTTTCTTCTCTGAGGACATGAGCTACATCAAGTATAGCACTATCTGTTCCAGTATAAATTCTCTGTGGTTTAAAACTAAAGTCCATTTTTTAGTAAAATTCTAAACCAATTTGTCATTGTTAAGTTTTTTTTTTTTGTCTTTATGTTTAGTTTTTTGTTGTTGTTGTTGTTTTGTTTTTGGAATTAAGAGTATTAGTATATATAAGAGAGGAGAAGAGTTGCCCTGCAATTTATAATGTCTTCTCTGGAAGCTAGTTTATTAATTCAACTGGAATAAAAGATATGTGTTTTCCAGAGGGCACCCATGATCAATGTGAGACTGTTCATAGTTGGGTCAACAAAAGCAATTTGGCTTGAAAATTGTTGTTAAATAATAAACTCTTATATTGTAGAATAAAACCATGTGCCTCTTTGTTTGGGATAACATATACATAAAAATGGCTATTTCTTCATAACTTATAGTCCAGAAGCAAATTCTTCCTAGGAAATCCAAAATAGACACACAGGTATATGCTTCATAAATTTACTAGTTATATCTTTAATGAAGTCATTGTTGCAATTAAGATTTATCTCATAAAATATTTTAAGCAAAGAACAATAATATATACTTAATGTTTAATGCAAAGGAGAAAAGTAATGAAAAATAGGATAAAGCTGAATGAAAAGATTACTTAATGGTAGCAAATAAAAATAGTAACTTGTTTTCATTTTTAAAAGAATTTATTCTTCTATCCTACGATACATCCCATCTGTAGCCTTCTCTCCATGCATTTTTCCAACCCCACCCCAAACTCCTTTCTTCCACAGATCCATTCCTCCTGCTTGTCCCTTCAGAAAAGAGCAGCCCTCTCAAATATCAATGAACATGACATAATAAAATGCAATAAGACTAGGCACAAACCCTCATATCAAGGACAAAGGATAAAGGATGAAGAGGCAACTCAAAGGGAGGAAACAGGTCCCAAGAGCAGGCCAGAGGGTCAGAGATACCTCCATTCCCAATGTTAGAAGTTACACAAAATCCCCAAGCTATATAACCACAACCTATATGCATAGGGCCTAGCACAGACCTATGCAAGCTCCCTGATTGCTGCTTTGGTCTCTGCGAGCCTCTATATGCCCTGCTTGGGTGATTCTGTGAGCCATGTTCTTGGGGAGTTCTTCACCACTGTGGCTCCTACAATTCTTCCTCCCCCTCTTCTGCAGGGTCCCCAAGTTCTACCTAATGAATGGCTGTGGGTCTCTACATCTGTTGTCATTAGCTGACACAGAAGCCTCTCTGATAACAATTGGGCTAGGCACCAATCTCTGCACATAGAAGAATTTCTTTAGGAATTACTTAATTGACTTTTTCTTGGCAGATGTGTTTGGATCTACCTTAGCTGGGTTCTCCAGCTTCTGTTTCCTGTTACCTAAGGGGTGTAGGGTGCCCATTCCTTCTTGTGACCTGCAGCTCCAATTTGACAAGTCATTGATTGGCTACTCCCACAAGCTCTGACCTCTCATTGCCCCAGTACATCTTGCAAGCAGGGAAGGTTACAGATGGAAGGTTTTGTGGCTTGGCTGGTGTACCAGTCCCACCACTGAAAGAAAGCCTTGCCAGGTTACACAAGTTGGTCTGTTCAGGCTCTGTTTCACATCCTCCGTTACTATGAATTCTCAATAGGGTTACCCTCACAGGTCCCAGGAAGTTTCCACTGCACTAATTTAACACATAGCCTCACAAATGCCCCTGAATTCCAGTTAATCTCTTCCTAGATACTCTTCCTCTATCTCTAACTCCCCTCCCTGATCCATCCCGCTTGCTTATTTATGCTTGTCCCAAGTTATTATGTATTGTTTGTGGCTATTGTGAAGGGTGTTATTTCCCTGAATTCATTCTCAGCTCATCTATAATTTCTGTATAGGATATTGATATTAATTTTGATAATGATTTTCTAAAGTTAATCTTGTGTCTAGCTATTTCGCTGAAGGTGTTTATCAGATGTAGAAGTTCCCTTGTTGAATTTTTGGGGGTCACTTATTTATACTATCACTTGCAATAAAATTAAATAAATAAATTAAAGCAGAAATTATTATTTTATCCACTAAAAAGAAATTCAATGAATTTTCGTTAAGTTATACAGTATTTGAATACAATTAAGGAATCATCAGAAGGAAAATGACAAAACCTGTGATACATAAATAAATAAGAGTTGGGAAAGAACTTGTTTCAAAAATATCAAGATGGAGGAGTCGAGCATGGTGGAACACAGCTATCATTCCAGTACTCGGCAGATAGAATCAAGATGAGAAATTCAAGGCATGCCTTAGCTGCAAAGTGAGTTGGAAACTTTGCTGACCAACAGGAGACTCTGCTTTGTCTGCAGATTATAAGAAGCACCATTCACTGCAAAACAAAGAGAAAGTAAAGACATTATGTTCTTAGCCATCAAAAAGCAGAAGCAAGAAAAAGCAGCTTTACTGATAACCAGTATATCAACATCAAAGGACATCATATATTAAAAGAAATACAACACATTAAGAAAAAATAATGAGAGCGAATATGTATGCAATGAATGTTGGTGCCACAGACCACCCCAATTGGGTATGGGGGTTCCCAGGACAAGGATTCTTGAAGAATAGGGTGGGTAAGGATTAGGCAGTGATAAACAGAAACACAGAGACAGTTTGTTTTTTGTTTGTTTCTTTGTTTTTCCATCTTTTTTATTTAAATTAGAAAGAATCTTATTTTATATAGTATCCCAGTTCCCGCTCCTTCCCATGCCCCCAACCAGCCCCATTCCATCCCTCTTCTGCTCCATAGAAAGGGTGAGGACTTCCATGGGGGAAGTTTGTCACATCATTTGGGGCAGGGCCTATGCCCTCCCGTGTGTATCTAGGCTGAGAGAGTATCCCTCTATGGGGAATGGGTAACCATTGTCCACTCGTACACTAGGATAAATACTGATCCACTACCAGAGGCCCCATACATTGCCCATGCCTCCTAACTGACACCAGTGTTCAGGGGGCCTGGTTCCATCATATGCTGGTTTCCCAGCTGTCAGTCTGAGGTCCATGAGCTCCCCCTTGTCAGCTGATTCTGTGGGTTTCCCAAGCCTGGTCTTGACCCCTTTGTGCATCACTCCTCTCTCTCTACAATTGGATTCCAGGAGTTCTGCTCAGTGTTTAGCTGTGGGTGTCTGCTTCTGCTTCCATCAGCTACTGGATGAAGGCTCTAGGATGGCATATAAGGTAGTCATCAATCTCATTATCAGGGGAGGGCATTTAGGATAGCCTCTTCACTATTACATAGAATCTTAGTTGTGGTTGGGGTATTCCTTTTATAACTCTGTACATTTCCCTAGTGCCAGATTTCTCTTTAAATCTATAATGGTTCCCACAGAGGCAATTTGAATCTGAGTGTATTTGTAGCTTACAAGCAAGGATTTTTATACACAGTGAAATAGATATTAAAATTCTTAGAAGCTGTTGTTAGTGAAGCAATCATGATAGTATAGATAACATCATTTTCACTTGGCACAGTAAAGCACAAAATCATCCAAGGCTAATGGCGCATTTCTAAAATCAGGTTAATAAATTTTTATGGTCAGTTATTGTTTAACATCTAGTACCTAATTCTTGTGAATCTTCAAGGTGTAATTTTAAACTATTTTAACTTTTTTTTATTTAAGGTATTCTGTGCCGTACACCTAAGCCCACTTTTAATGACACACATACCCCCCATCTCAAGGGACAGTTTCTTATCCAAATTTCTCACTTAAAATCTCAGCCCAGGTCATTAGAAATATCTCTTAAATATGGAAAGAGAATAGAAGATAAAAATCAGAAACCGCCATGGGAACTATGAGTCAATATTTTGTTCTGGCCAAGAGTTCCACAACCAGTTCCAAGAGGCCTCCCTCTTTTGACTTTTTCTCCTCTGTCTGTGGAACTTGTCACACAGATTCTACTGGGGTTGGTGTGACATGTGGGTGCAATCAGTTTCACAGAACAACAGTATTAGTTGTGAACACTACCACACAAATACAATTAATCATATAAATAACTTAGTATTAGCAAAAAAAAATCACAGACATTGAAGACTTAAACTATAGTATAAGTCAAATGGCCTTACTAGGTAAGTTTAGAGCAAATATTCCACTGAGAAACAGCAGATTACATCTATCAGAAACTCAAAATTTTATCCAAAATGGAACACGGTTTGGATAGAGGGTTATATTGAGTGAGGGTAATCCAGATCCAGGAAGAGAAATGCCAACATACTCTCTCTTACTTGTGGATACTAATTTCAAATCTTTTGATTTCAGTATATAAGTTGATGTAACTGAAAACAATTAGGAAAGCAGAAAGGGACCCTGGTGACAAGGAGGGAGCACAGCCCTGGGGAGTGTAAGTGGATGGGATGATTCAGGAACTATGAAAATGATCATGGAAAGTGGGCAAATTTAACTGGGAGTTGAGAGGAGGGTAATGAAGGGGAATAAAGGGAGGAGAGAAGAAGAACAGTAAGGATATGTATTCTTTACTTTTCTATCTTATGATAAAATGCCACGAGGAATTTAGAGGAAATGGTTTTAATAAGGTTTGTAATTCCAAAGGCACAGAGTCCATGATGGCAAAGCAGAGGCAATGGGCATGGAGAAGAAATTCAAGCAGGAAGCAGAGAAAGTTCACTGGGAAGAATGCAAGTCTTTGGGACCTCAATTCCTGACCTAATGGCTTTTTTATTCCATTAATGTCACATCTCCTAGACCTCCCCAGACAGTACCACA